CTTTAACTAGTCTCATCAAGAAATTAAGAGGACCCAAATAAATAAAATCAGAAATGAAAGAGAAGAACTGATACCACAAAAATAGAAAGGATTATAAGAAAACATTATGAATTATATGCCAACAAATTAGATAATCAGGAACAAATGGATAAAGTCCTCTAAACATAAAATCTTCCAAAACTGAATTAAGAAGTAACAGAAGATATGAACAGACAAATTGCAACCAATAAAATTGAAGCAGGAATCAAAAAACTGCCAACGAACAAAAATCCTGGACCGGATGGCTTCACAGGTGAATTTTACCAAATATTCAAAGAAGAACTAACATCTACGCTGCTCAAACAATTCCAAGAAATTCAAGAGGAGAAAAGAATCCCAAGCTCATTTTATACCACAAAGAAAATTATAGGCCAAAATCCCTGATGTACATACACAAAAATCAACAAAGTATTAGCAAACCAAATTTAGCAACACCTTGAAAAGATCATACACCATGATCAAGTGGAATTTATTCCTGAAATGAAAGGTTGGTATAATATCCACAGATCAAGTAACGAGACATATCACATAAACAAAATGAAGGATAATAATCACAGGATAATATCAACAGATGCAGAAAAAGCACTTGACAAAATCCAGCAACATTTATGATAAATCTCCCAGCAAAGTGGGAATACTGTGAGCATACCTCAACATAATTAAGGCCGTATATGACAAACACAGAGTGAGTATCATACTCAACCAGGAAAAACTAAGAGTGTTCCCCTTAAGACCAGGAACAAGACAGGGATGTCCACTTTCCTCACTCTTATTTAACACAGTACTGAAGTCCTAGCTATGGCAGTCAGACAAGAAGAAATAAAAGGCATCTAAATTGGAAAGGAAGAAGTGAAACCGTCATTATTTGCAGATGGCATGGTACTGTATATGGAGAACCCCAAGGATTCCACCAAAAAACAACTAGAAATGATAAATGAATTCCGTAAAGTAGCAGGGTACAAAATAAATATTCAGAAACCAGTTGTATTTTGTACTCCAATAATGAACTATCAGAAAGGGAGGCTAAGAAAACAATTCCATTTACAACTGCATTAAAAAAAAAATCATAAGAATAAATTTAACCAAGGAGGTAAAAGACCTGTATTCAAAAAACTGGAAGACACTAAAGAAAGAAAATGAAGAAGATACAAAATAAGGGAAGCATACACCATGCTCTTGGATAGGAAGAATTAACATCATTAGCCTACGGCCATACCACCCTGAACACTCCCCATCTTGTCTGATCTCGGAAGCTAAGCAGGGCCGGGCCATTAGTACTTGGATGCACGAATTAACATCATTAACATGTGCACACTACCCAAAGCAATCCGCAGTTTCAATGCCATTCCTATCAAAATACCAATAGCTTATTTCACATAATTAAAACAAATAATCTAAAAATGTGTATGGAACCACAAAAGACCCCCCAAATAACCATAGCTACCTCGAGAAAAAAAAGAACAAAGTTGGATGTGTCAGGCTATTTGATACCAAACTATACTATAAGGCCACAGTAATCAAAACCGCATGGTACTGGCATAAAAACAGATGTGTAGATCAATGGGACAGAACAGAGGGCCCAGTAATAAACCCACACCTATATGGTCAATTGACATTTGATAAAGAAGGCAAGACAGTCTATTAAATAAATGATGCTGGAAAAATTGGATAAATACATGCAAAAAAATGAAACTAAACCAACTTTTTACACCATCTACAGAAATAAACTCAATATTAATTAAATACTTAAACCTAAGACTCGAAACCATAAAACTTTTAGAACACATAGGCAGTGAAATCTCTAACATTTCTCTTCGCAATATTTTTTATATCTCAAGTGAGGGAAACAAAAGAACTTTAGCAAACTAACAAAACAGAACTATAGCAAACTAAAAAGTTTTTGCATAGCAAGGGAAACCATCAATAAAATATTTTAAAAAAACAACCCACTGAAAGGATGAAGATATTCACCAATGATATATCCGATAAGGAGTTACATCCAAAATTTGTAAAGAACTAACAAACTCGACATCAAAAAAACAAACAGTCCAGTTAAAAAATGGTCAGAGGATTTGAACAGACGCTTCTCCAAAGAGGACATACAGATGGCCAATAGACATATGAAAAGATGCCCAATGTCACTAATCATCAGAGAAGTGCCAATTAAACCCACAAGATACCACCTCACATTTGTCAGAATAGCTATCGTCAATGCATCAGCAAACAACAAGCATCGGGGAGGATGTGGAGAAAAGGGAACCCTTGTGCACTGTTGGTGGGAATGCAAACTGGTGCAACCACTACAGAAAACAGTGTGGAGATTCCTCAAAAAGTTAAAAATTAAACTGTCTTATTACCCAGTGATTCCACTTCTGGGTATATTATTTGAAGAAACCCAAAACACTAATTCAAAAGAACACAAGCACCCCAACGTTCACTGCAGCGTTACTTAAAACAACCAAGATATGAAGGCAACCCAAGTGCCCTGCAATAGAAGAGTGGATGAAAAGGGGCGGCACATATATACAATGGAGTATTACTCAGCCATAAAAAAGAATGAAATCTTATACCCTTTGCCAACAGTACGGGTGGACCTGAAGGGTATTATGCTAAGTGAGATAGGTCAGTCAGAGAAACGCAAATAGCATAGGATTTAACTTATAAGTGGAATCTAAAGAACAAAATAAGGGAACAAACTAAAGTGAAACAAACTCATAGATACAGAGAACAGACTGATTGTTGCCAGAGGAGCAGGGGTTGGGGACCTGCGTGAAAAAGGAGTAAAGACAAAACAGTTAAGTGGATATAAAGTATGGCGCAGGGAATACGGTCCATATTTTTGGTTCTCAGGATGGCGCTCAATCCACAGAGCCACACCAGCCAGGGCTTACAGTCAGTATTTTAGAAACTATGTACAGTGCCAGGTATTCAGGAGAACACTCTCAAAAAGTACACAACCATCTAACCATTATGCTGTACCCCTCTGAAACTAATACAGAATAACACTGAATGTAAACTGTAACTGAAAAATGAAATTTAAGAAGCACCAAAATAGAATCTTAAGAAAAAGATTCAGAGTACAATCATGTTCATTTAAGTGCTAAAATGGTTTTTATCCATTAATCTCTAAGACAATATAAATGTTAATCAATTGTGCAAGTATTGTATATGCAATTTTGATTTTTAAAATTTGTGTATTGATGATTATACTTTTATATAATCAATCAAATGGGCAATAATATTCAACAGGACATATACAAACAGATATATGCTGAAACCAAACATAGCTTACAAAGTAAAAGACAGGAGAAGCATTCCCTTACATCTGGGAGGAAAATGATATCCACCATTATAACTATTATTCGGTATTATTCTGAATTAAAATCCACTCAATAGAGCAGAAAGAGAAAAAAGAAAAGGTATAAAAATTGCAAAGAGAAAGGTAAAACTTTACTTATTTGCAGGTGATCTCATCTTTCTGAAAAATATAAAAGAACAAAATCTCATATTTTATCAAGTCTAAAACATGAGTATAAGACATCATTATTTTATGCACCAATAACAAATTTTAAAATATTGCCAATTAATTATAAGATAGCATCAATTTAAGAATGTATACCAATTTCAGAAATGTTCTGATGTATATCTTATCAGAGCAAATCAAAGATTTCAGCCTGGTGCAGTCTGCAGTCTGCCAGCTATAAGAGCAATGTACAAATCCAACAGCTACCCTGTAAGTAGCAATAACCAATTTTAAAATGTGATAAAAAAAGATCCCATTCACTATAACAATAAGTGGAAATAAACCTAACAAGGAATGTAGGCATTTGTAAGTATTCCTATGTCAGGAATCCTTACATGCAGAAAATTATAAAATTCAACTGAAGTGACGGAAAAAGGACACGACTACATTGGCAGGCCGACTGCACACTGGGAAGATGTCATTTCTCCCCTAAGTGATCTATGAACTCAACGTAATACCAGTCAAATCCGGACATCACTTTTCATGGAAGTTGACGAGCTCATTTTAAATTCCTCTGAAAATAAGCAATCGCCATCAGCAAAATTTTGAAAAAGAAGAACAAAGAGGAGTTACCTAATGAAATATTAAAATATGTAAGAAAAAATGTTGATTTGACTACAAAATTAAAATTTTGTATCAGAAAAGACATCACAAGCAAATTTCACAAAGAAGATGACTAAGGAAAAATACCTGTAGTATATGTACACCAAAAAACGATTAAGATCCAGAATATATAACGAACTTCTATGCATCCATAAACAAAAGACACAGACTCCCGCAGGGAGACGGCAAAGGATAGATATATCACAGAAGAGGAAATAAACATGGCTAAGGAACACTCTAGGAATCAGGGAGATGCAATATAAAACAGTAAATTACCGTATTTCCCCTGAGAGACCGGAAAAAATTTTAAATTTCATTATATAAAGTATTTCGCAAGGATATAGGGAACTGTAAATTGATGATCACTGCTAGTCCAAACGTAATTGTATGCCCATTGTCAAGGGCAAGAGGGCAGTGTAAATGCGCACACCACATAAGCTAGCAATTCCACTTGTTGGAATAACAAGAATTCATTACCTATGTAAAAAGATACATATATATCTAATGCGCATGTGCATATGCATCTACGTCCCTCCCTCCCTCCCTAATATTAAAATGAAAATTAGAAGTAGGGCTCTAACTTCTAGCTCTGCAGGAATTTACTGTGGGTAGCCCCAATGCCATGATGTGGGAAAAGGAAATTTCACTTTTCCACCCTCCTCTAAGGAAGAATACTTGAGCCTCCAAGCTAAGGAAGCATCTTGGTTGCGATTCACTTGTCCTAGTTCAAGTACACCTATTGTGGACTAGGTTTTAAATCCTAATTTGCCCCTGTTATACTCCAGACAATTCCAAAGAATAGAACACCTTGCAATGAACATTTTAAGACACATACCAGCAAGAACCTTCTTTGCCACTGAAGGTTGTCTTGTTTCCTGTGGAAATATCTTCTTTGTTACGAAGGGTATCCTCTCGCCCTTTGGAAATGTACTTTGCCATCTCTCTAAAGACCGTTGGCTGCCAATTGGAAATCTGCTCCTAATTTCAGTGAAACTTTTCTTCACCTTTTTTGGTGACAATTTCTTTTCCAGTAGGGACTCCAAAGCCTGCCATAAAACAGTCAATTATTCTCTTAGTTTATCTCTCAGTGATTTAAAAAGTCTGACTTTTAATCATAAAATGAGGACTCCAGAGAAATGTGTTATTAAAGGGCTGTCTCTAAAGATTAAAGAAATGTTGTTTAACTTAATTTTAAAACTTTATTACTTAGGACATCAAATTCTGCACGTTCTTTCACATGTTAAGCTTGCTAAGCCCAATAGCAAAAAGATAAAGAACATGAGTACTTAAAGGCATCCAAATTCTAAAATTAAGGATTATCATTTTAGAAACTAACCATAGTTTTCAGAATATAATCCTATATGCTTTAAAGGCATTTTAATTCTCGATAAAAACCTCATAAACTCAAATAATATTTTAAGTGGACAAACAGACTGTATGTAATATACATTTTCATAAACTAAAGGAAACCCTGTGTGTCCAGTGGCGTTTGTCACCCATGCCCCGCCGCGGAGGGAGATCTGGGCTCCCCCTTTTCTACGAGAGGCACAGCCTCTAGTGGTGCATCCACTCACTCGCTACCAGGCAGTAAGGGCCTGGCCTCCATCCACTCAGTACAAACTGAGGAAATCTGAACATAGCCAGGGAGATTTAGTTCAGATGACAGCAAGAAAAAATAAGCTGGGGGATGGTGCAGTACCTCAACAAGAAAAGAATAAGTTGGCTGCACTATTGAATACTTTCAAAGGCAGGAGAGATAAACATTATGTTTAAGAAACATTATGTTAAGGTGCTTACTCCTGCTCAAAATTTGGGGACTCGATAACCTCTTAAGATGCTTTCTAGGATTAGAAAGATATACCCTCTAAATGAAGTCATTTTGACCAATGAATGTTTCTTATGGATACATTTAAAAAGCATCATGACTTCACGTGCTGTGTAAAGGTCTGCATTTGACAGTAACATTCCTGATAGAGAGTTCTATACACGTGAATGTAACCACAGCATTCACAAATGTATTTGCTGCCAAATGGAACTGTACAGGTAGAAGGGGCCGTACAGACCACCGAAGGCTAGTTAATGGTAAAACTGGTACGCCAATTAGTTCCTGATTGCCCCCACTACAGCGCCTCTCCTCTGCAGCCAGCAGCTCACCGCGTCTCACCAACAGCGGCACGGGAGTCAGAAGACAGGAATTTGAGTCCCAGCTCTCAAGAGAAGTAATTGTGTCAGGTCTCTGACCTTTGCTTTTTAAAAATTTTATCTGTAAAACAGTAGTAATAAACCGACTGCAAATCACAGCACTGTAGTAGATAAAATGGCAAAATTACGTGGTAGTACTCTGCGAACTCCGGAGAACTATTAAGCTTTAAAGCCATATTGTCCCTGTTGTCTTTGTCACCGATGAAACAAAGGACACTATTTATTCCTGACGAGTACATGCCAGTTGTGATTCCCAGAAGTCTCTAGCCATATCACAAGACTTCAGGCTCTGCTTCCCTAGATATTAAAATGTCTCCTTTCCAAACCTCTCTCTAGATTACACACTGATATTCTAATGAAGGCACTAATATAAGAGTGCTTTACTGTTTTCTTTTTCTATGTTCATAAATTCCCTATTAACTGGCATGGTCAGGAAATGGAAAATTCTTTTTAATTAATGGACCTGGTTAAGAGTTGTTATATGTTCTAGACTCAAGCCTACAATTCTCAAAGAAGTGAAATACAGTTTTATAGACTACATTATAAAAACAATAAAGTAAAAATGAAGTCCCTTTTCTGCCTTTGGCAAAGCTTTAATTTACTAGATGTAGCAGCTTTGTCTTGATTTTCCATAAATTTCAATGAGACTTGGAGGTGGTAAACATTACCTCCCTGTTTAGGAACAACGCACTTCTGACAAAAATAAGAGTCAACTTCATACCTCAATTTGATGCAGGATATTTATAACCACATCAGCGACAGAAGAGTCGGCATCCAGCTTGGCGGAACAGAGTGAAAGTTGGCGAATAAGACTGCCCAGTTCCTTGTACTGAGCAGGAACAGGGTGCTCCCCTCGGTCAGTAAACAGAGAGACAAACATCTGTAGGGCCCGGATGGCTCCTCGATGGGCAGCTGCCAGCCTGGACATTGCCCATGACTGACAATAAACGAAATGTGGCGAGTTATTTCAATATTCAGTACTTCCTGACATTAACCCCATCCTTCAGAATGCTGACAGTCTCTCTTCTGTCTACACTGAACTATTTCCATTGTGAAAACTTTTGCAGTTAAGGGAATTATACAGTGTAAAGATTTTCTAATGGTAAAGTCTTTTCCTTCCTATTTTCATTTTCTTACACTAGCAGCAGCAACAACAAAAACCTATTTTCAGAATTTCAAAGACAACCCCCAATTCAGAGTATTTAAGGTGCTCATGCCCTTGCTAATAGGTTTCTACAAGCACTGAAAATAGTACTAGTGCAAAGAACACACATGATACTAACACTGGAAATCTAACTTATAAATAATAAGTATTAATCATAACTAAGTTGCATCATACCTTCTTAGTATGTTTAATTTTATGTGGACTCAATTTATCCAATTCTTCCTGGATTTCTTTAACCTGTTTTATAGAGGAAAAAATGAAAACTACTGATCTTTTTCATAGAAGAGGACACAGCTTGTCTTATCCAAATTTAACCATTATTAATTCAAGCAACTTGAAAATGAGACAAGGCTCTTCAGTCCTGCGCCTTCAAAATAGTTACTGGTTTCCGGTTCAAGGTGGTGACTAGAGCACAGGGTTTACCCTCCATCCCAAGGTCCCCAGTGTAATGGGAACTAAACACGAAGGAATGAGGGGGGAGGGGATTAGAAAGTCAGGAGGGCCAGACCATAAAGTCTTCAGTACCATACTGAAAGATTTAGCTTCCACCCTCTGTGTGACAGAGTGCCACTGAAGTCTTTTAAGCAGAGGTCCGTCGGGGTAAGATTTGTGTTTTAAAATAATCTCTATAGCAGCAATATAGAGTAAGGACCGAAATAGAACCCAAAAACAATACGGAACAAAATCTCAGACATTTTCTTTACAATCAAAAAGACCAGAAATGAATTAAAGATGCATTAATGAGTAAGGCCTTAAAGGTAAAACATTTTTTAAAAATCCTCCCATGAACAATGTAAATGCCCATTTATCAGCCACTACATGTGTCCTCAAAGACCCTGAAGATGGTCTTCGTTCTTTACTATTCAATAAAGGTGATCAAATTACTTATTATTACTAAGTTTCGAGTACATTATAAACATGAGACAGATGGGAAACTAAAAATGGCCCCTTTCTTCTAAGATGTGATTCAGAACTGGGGACAAAGGGTTTTGGGGACTAACCCCCTTGACTTTGTCTACAAAAATATGTGCTGTATCAGCATTTTTTTCCTTGGGGAAAGGACACATGGTTTTTAGTAGATTCTTAAGAGGCTATGACACCAAACAGTCAAATACCACTATTTAAGGAGTTTGGCTTTATGTACATAATACACAAACACACATAAAGGCAAATGACAAAAACGAAAAGATTTGCCCATGTGTTCAGGAAATTTAGCTTCACAAGTACGTGAGAGTTCACAGAGGATGCCGTGGTGCTAATATTTCTGAAACAAAAGGAAAATGCATTCCCTTAGAAGGTCACACACAAGGCTGAGCACCCACTCCTCCCCGCTTGTGCACCTGCTGCTGGAGGACGTAGAGCATTCGGGCAGAACGAACAGCTTGCTCCTGCCTCCTGACCCGGATCCGCCGTTCTTCATCTGGGTCCAAGGCTTCTTCTGTTTTATCTGAAATTGTTTTCCCCCAAGTGGATTATAAACCAAATATAAAAACTTACAAAAATTACAATTACTCAAAGAGATAATCAAGTTGAAGAGCTCTATTTCAGGAAGAAAAATGAGGCTGTCCTAACAACAGATGTCATTTTTCATTAGCCAAGAAATCAGAAATAAGGGGCCCGTGGACGGACTCAGCAGGTCCATGAGGACATTCACTAGGCCAGGCTCCCCTCTGCGTGGGAGTTTCCTGATCCAAACGCCACTGGACATGTACTCCGCTGTGAAGCACCCCTTACTATTCTAAGATTCTTTATATTGAATCAAAAGCTGAAATGCTTTCCATTTTTTTCAAAAACTCTTTATTGGCCAACTTTCATCTTTAACAAGATTTTTTTCACACTTTCTTTTCTGGAATACAAGAGAGAAATCCTTTCTCCAACACATGAAGAGTACATGAATGAATGCCTAAAGGCTTCATGTGTTTGTCAGGAAGGACACCCTCGTACACAATGGTGTTCCCCATTTGCAAAAGGTTAGTTCAAAGAAACTGTGTCTAGAACACGGCCTGAGACTGTGCAACCCATCCATTCTGTCGAGCTGGTGGTTTGCAAGCACGCTTATGCAAACCTCCATTAAGCCAGTCAGTTAAAAGCAGTGCAGTTTATAAATTCAAATTTTTTAGTATTTGCTCACTAAAAAGTCAACTAATGACTTAAAATCAAGGCGGTGTGGACAGTCTCAGAGGAGCCTACAAGTCAAACTGTTTCTTTCCTTGTTGGCCTGCACAGCGTGGGGAGGCTCTGGACTCATGTCCTTATATATCGGTGGTAACTGGCTCGGGTGGGGTTTTTAGCTGCTCATGTTAGAGATGATTCTTTTGTCTTTTTTACTGAATTTATTGGGGTAACATTGGTTAATAAAATTATACAGGTTTCAGGTGTACAATTCTATAGTACATCATCTGTAGGTTACATTGTGTGTTCACCACCCCAAGTCAAGTCTCCTTCCGTCACCATTTACTTCCCCTGCAGATGATTCTGATGTGATCAGTGTGCAGAGCAGCACTTGGGAAGCACAAGCAGGCGTTTTAGGACTACTGCAAGGGTGAGCTGCAGGTAGGGGCCATCGCAGACTGCTACCAGTCCACAACAAGCTAAGTGCAGAAGTCAAAAGTGTGCATTTACAAGTTTTTATAGCAAAGTGCCACTGTCGTGACATTTTTATTATAGTTTTGATTTGTGATTGACATTTTTAACAGCGGCGGGGGGCGGGGGCGGGATCCAGTCCTTCCCCAGAGTTTGAAAAGCTCTGCCCCAAGGGTCCCCGCATTAAGCCACATCATCAGAGCTGTGGGCCGCTGGGCTTCTTTCCCCTGGGAGCACGGCTTCTACCAAAGTATGCCATGGGGACATGCCACAGACAGACACTGAGCAATGGTAGAAGAAACAAACCTTAACACTCCCATTATCTTGACATACAGATGTTTTTAGTTCATCATATGATACAACATACTCTTTAGGAAGACACACATGAGAAATTTTTCTCTAGCCTCAATATGTGCAATAATTATTTTCCTTACACAATTGTTTTTTCTGTTTTGGACTGTGTAAATTTTGCAACTACCATACTTTCCTCGTTGGCTGGCTGCTAGGAAGCTCAGAAGCCAATTTGTAACCCATCCCTAATATATCTTATTTTTCCTTTCCTTATTTTTTCCTGTGCCCTAATATCCTCATTTGTGTGTTTGTTCTATCTTATTCAGCCACTGGTATTTTTGTAAGGCACCTTAAATTCTTTATATAAAGAATATATGCATATGTAAACTAATTTTTAAATGCCAAAGATCATCATAGACCATGCACTATCCTAGCACAATATGTGTGATCAACTCCATGCTCCCTGCAGTCTGATCTGGGCTCAAATCCCCTACCCATTAGCTATGGTTACCCTAAATCGTCCATGTGGGATCAATGCTCTACTCCCCAGCAAAACACAAGGCTTGGAGAATACTGAAGATCTGCAGAAAACAGTACATGGTGATTATACAACCTGCTCTCTACCCTGTGGTCAGATATTTTACATATATACTCACCACTTTCCTTGTCACTGCTATGTACCCATCTAAACACTGCCTAAATTAAAACTGGTTTAATCTACAATGTACATATACAATGCTCTTTTTTGAACAAATTAAAAATAATTTTGTCTGAAGAACTCCTGGGTAAAGAAGCAAAACTTTGTGGGATAATTTTCACTCCGGTGCCAGAAGACCTAAGGTTCAGAGAGCAGGGACCCCAAGCCCTAGGCTGGGCCCTTGGTCAGTCGATCACCAAGCACAGCTTGCAGGAAAGGAGCTGTGCCGTGGGAAGCACAAGCAGGCGTTGAACTGGTGCTGCATAAGCGCGCTTGCAAACCGCCAACTGGACAGAATGGATGGGTCGCACAGCCTCATGCCATGTTCCAGACACAGTTTCTTTGAACTAACATTTTGAAAATGTGGAACACCATTGTGGCTCCCCGGAAGGAGGGGCCAGGGCAGGAAAACTCTTCAGAAAAAAAGACACTGGGCAAACTCCAAGCCCACCTGTCTGGTCGTGAGTGCCCGCTCTAGCGACAGAAGGAGGGAGTGGACTGTGATGGGGGCGGGGGCCCCGAAGGAATGAGTGTACGTGAACTCTCCCACTCTCACCAAGTTTTCTCACCTTCTTTAGTTACTTCTTCAATTTTATGGATACAACTGCTCAATATTTTCTGGAGTCGCTGAACTTCTAGCAGGCTTTTGCGGTCACCTGTCCTGGCATGTGGCTGAGGGCCTGGATCATGGGTGGGTGGCGAATTTGGCACGGTCAGCTCTGACTGTCCTGGATGGGACGTGTATATGTACACCTTGGCTCCTAAGCTGGAAGTGTCTGCTTTGGGGGGCTGATGGCTGGAATGAAAAACTTCTTGATTCTTCAATTCCTTCCTTTCCACCCTAAGATCAGATATTGTATGCTTGGTGTATCCATGTTTCTGAGAGACCTGGGGCTGATTTCTGAGGTGATGTTGTTTTACATGTTCTTCAAATTGTCTTCGTTTCATGTCTCTTTTGGCCAGGTGGACAGCGTGGCTAAGTCTCTCTTCTGATATGACAGAAAATGAAACAGAACTGCATTGGTCAGGACCATCTCTGAAATCCAAGTCTTTCCAATGGCCTGACTCACCGTGCAAGTGCTTCAGTTTTTCAATTTTAATTGCATGTGGAGAAGAAAACCGGATTGCCAAGTTGCTTGAATGTGTAGGAACATTCTTATTAAACTGCAGCTGGTTCTTTCAAAAAATAAATAAATAAAAGTAAGCACTCATTAGAGAAATAACATTTTATATAGTTGGTATATGTCTATAATCAAGTTTCTAAAAATTTACCCACACGGTTATTAGTGCTAAAAGGTATCTTTGTTTTGTACTGACAGAATCAGCCGCTGTCATACACCCTGAACTCATCACCCAGAGCTCTGGCTCTATCCTATAGCCGCGCAGACCTGTGGTATAAGCCTGCTGCTTAATAACAGCGTACTGGGATCCTCCTCTAAACATCAACCCGACAAGCTTCAAGTGACAACCAGTAAGTTTCTCAACTCTCCAGTTATGGGCTTCTGTCCTGTTTCAAAATACCAGGTCCTGGCAAGGGACCCATACAATCCATTACCGGCGTGCCCCGAGACAGCTCCCCGACACGCCGCATAGCCACGTAGGACCGAAGCCCTTTGATGGCGCCTCTCCAGGCCCTCCCTCCTCAGACTGTCATCTGGTAGCTGAACCACATCTTTTATTCCACACCTAAGTTCATCTTGCTCTCAACAGTCCTCTTACACCTTCTTGTGGAGGCGGAAGTTTTTGCCAGTTTTAATGATAATAAATACAAGTTTTGTTCTGGTTTTTCAGTTAACATAGTCATGTTTCCATATTCCCACAGTTTTCATTATTTTTCATGGTTGCATTGCCAAAACCCAATTAACTTAACTATAACTTCATTATTAAACATTTAGATTATTTCAGCTTTTCCATGCATTTGATTTTTTTTTCTCTTTTCTGACTATTTCCTTAGGATAAATGATCTATTCTGGGATTACGAGGTCAAAGGCAACTCTATATGACTCTATAGTTCTGGACCTGTCAACAACAAATTCAATAAAGCTTGTGCTGTGGTGCCTTGTCTCTTGGGGGTGGCCTCCCCAACTTTCACAATTAAGTGTGTTTACATAATCATGTATGTGAGGAGTCAGTTTAAAAATAAATTCAAGACAGTATTTTTTTTAAAAAAGCAGTTATAAACCTTATTAAAAGTTATGAGAGAGAAAAATAAATTGGTTACCATCTGAATGGAGAGTACACGTATTGATAAACAGTGCTTGAAACCTGTAGCCTTAATATGGAGAAAGTCTTTCCCCCAAAGTAAAAACAACCCAATGTACCTGGAAAATTTAATGTAAGTACTAGGAAAAAAATACAGGTGAATTCCTCTTTGACCTGGCTGTAGGGAAGGACTTTCTAACTCAAAATCCGTATGCAATAAAAGAGTGACAAAATTTTATTACATGAAAATAAAAATTTTAAAAACAACTTCTACCTGTTTTTTATGGTTAAAAAATACCATAAACAAAGTCAAAGAACTAATATTTGTAAATACAGAGGGCTCCCTAAATATAAGGAAATCTTAAATACTAAGGTCTAAAAAAAAAAAAAATCAAAATGCAACTGAAAATGGGAAAAACTTTTGAACAGACAACTTACTAAAATTACAATAAAAATGGCCCTTAAACATATAAAAATTGGTCAATCTCATAATACAAATTAAGAAAATACTGAAATAGCAACAGATTAGTAAAAAATTTAAAAGGTATGACAACACATACTATTGGCAAGGCCATGAAAAACCAGACACTCTCACAGACTGCAAGGAGGGATGCAAATTGGTACGCTCCTTGCGGGGGGGTTTGGCAATATCTGACAAAATTGCACGTGTGTTTACTTTTTGACCTAGCAGTGTCACTTACAGCAATTTACCCTGAAGAGACACCCCCAACACATATGTGCAAAGGATTTCTCACTACTGTATTGTCTGTAAACTGCAATGTATTGGAATCAACCTAAATGCCCATGTAGGAGAATGGCTGAAATAATTATGCTATACCCACACAAAAGAGTACTATAGAAAGGTGATAAAGAATGAGGAAGATCTCTATGAACTGATGTGGAGGGACGTCTCACATAGTTCAGTGAAAAGAGCAAAGTGTAAAAGAGCACCTGTGATATCTTCAAAAAAGGGAGGAAATATTTCATGAGAAAATATACACGCATCTGATCATTTGTACAAAAAGAAAAAAGGCAAAGAAAAATCAGAGACTATTAAGATTAGAATATGGGTAGGAACCGGGTGGAAATGAGACAGGCCAGGAAGCCAGGACAAGTGGAACAGGGAAACTGAGACAGAGAGCTGAACAAACTGGCAATTTACAGCCAGATACAGAAGGTCACCTCCCTGGAGGTAACATCTAGGCCTCAGCTGTATTTTAGCTCCAGGCCCAGAAAAGCAGCAAAACCAAGTGCATGACACCATGACCAATTGCAGCGACTAAAGATCCCCAGCCCTGTCGCTGCCCAGTCAGTGGAGACCACCACATTAAAAGAGCACACCTGGAAAACTGACGCATGTTCTGCTGAAAGCCTCCCCTGGAACCTCCCCTCCAGCTCCTACCTGCAAGAGAGATAAACCCCCAGGACAAAGACCCAGGTGTGTGAGCACTCTCCCTCTGGGGAGCAGCTGGCCCCATTCCCGTCCTCCCTCTTTCCCTCTCTTCGTCCCCCACAGGCACGCACCTCCTCAACTCTAAGGGTCCCCACAAGTCTCGAAATCAAGCGAGCAATAGGCAGCGGCAGCTCAATCCAGGCTGACCCCGACCCCGTCCCCAAGGCCCCGTCCTCCACTTCCCGGTGCGCTAAGGCCGCCCAGCCCAGGCTCTCCTGCTGCTGCTTCTATGCTGAGCCCTCCCTTGCTTCACTGTCCCCAGGGTTCATCATGTACTCTCACCGTCACCCAGACGCATGCTGTGAAATCCTTCCTCCATGGAGTCAGGAACCCACACACTGCAGCTGGCCTCGGGCAGACCCGCTCAGGGCCAGGCCCCTTTCCAGTCACAGCAAGGAAAGAGGGGATGCAGGGGAAACTACGCGTCTCTGAGTATAATTTTTTGTACAGGTAAAATGGACTCATGTTAAGGTTTCGCATATATTAGAGAGGTAGGAAGGAAGGGAGAGAAGAAAGGAGGGAAGGTGGGAGGGAATAAATAAAACTAATAAGGATGAAGGAAAGCCCTAAAAATGAATACTAACCAATGAGACAAAATGAGTTTCCAATGAATGACATAACCGCACTAAAAAATGAGGGATAAAAAAAATACCCCAATTAATTTTTGAATATAGCATTTGGACTATATGACCTCAGACTAAAATAAAAAGTACTCTAAAAATACCAAAACTTTCAATTTGTAGGTTTCTCTTTTTGCAGAGGCATGGATTACACTTCTGAAATATTTTTGTACATTCTAGGATTAAGCAAATAAGTAAATATATTGTGGATAACTGGAATGAGGGTTCATGTTGTTGAGTAAGGCAGTTACAAATATGGAGAGTGTTGAACTGGAATTGGAGATATCTGTGTGAACTCATAGGTTTTAATGCAGATAGACAAGCAGGTAGATACATAGAAAGGGGGGGAATGGAGAAAGAGAGAGAGAAGGGAAAGGAGAGGGAGGGCTACGGATGTGAGTGTAGACATGAATGCATGCATGCACGGACACACAAGTATATATACATCTATTTCTCAGTTATGGCTCCTGAGAGGGCCTAGAAACAATGACACCTGAGCATCAGTGAGCGTATCTACTGCTCAGATACTGATTTCTAAATTCCATTCTCCATCAATGGGACAAATGCACTTTAAATAAATGGCTGATTCCAGGGCTGGAAGAGTGAAAAAATATGCTAAGCCTGAACTATCATCTTTTCATACCAAAAAGTGGAGAAAGATTGATGAAAACATGTGAAAGGGACACTAGAGTCAGCTTGAAGTGGCTCTCATAGGCCTAATCGGAGACCATCTGAACATCAAAACATATATGTGAACCTAAAAATTCATCATAATAGTAAAAGATTATGAACTATTGAATAAAGACTGAGTCTGCTCCAGTAGGAAGGAAAGAAGGAAAAGAGGAAAGAAGGAAGGAAGGAAGGGAGGGCGGGAAGGAGGGAGGGAGGAAAGGAAGAATGGAGGAAGGGATGAAAGGAAGGGGGGGAATCGGTGAACATTTGCCAACAATCATAATAAAAAATTGATTCAAGCGAAAGTCACCAATGAATGGTAAAACTAATGGATGGAAGTTTGAGGCAGGGGGTGCGGTAAAAGGATGTTAACAAAGCCTCAAAGACAGATACTTCCAACTGCGAAAAGTAAATGAGGAACCTCACACTGGAAATTTGTCGGACACCACCTGGACCGAACGGTTCAAGGTGGCAGTGCCATCAACGGCACTAAATCCGCAGCGCGCACCTCCCGGTACTGCGCGCTGAGAACTCAGCGCCACTTCAGCGATGTTCCTGCCGTCAGTGTGAGACCTGAATTGAATTAGGAGAAAATGCTAGACAAACCCAAATTGAGAGAAAATCCTCAAACAACTGGCCTGTATTTTTCAAAAATGTAAATGTCACAAAGTACACGGACAGACTCAGAAATTGTTCAGATGAAATTAAAGAAACATGACAACTAATGCAAATGATGATCTTGGATTTTCTTTTGCTATAGAGGACATTATTATGACAACTAACAAAATTTCAGGAAGGTCAGTATTATTTCAATGTTAAATTCCTGAATTTTACTGCTGTACTGATTATTTAAGAGAAGACCTTGCTTTTAGAAAATGCACACGCAAGTCCTCAGGAGTAAAAGGGCATCATTCCTACAACTTACTTACTTAGTTTAGAAATAATGTCGGGGGAGAAAAAGGGAGGAAGAGAGGGAGGGGGAATGTAATAAAATGTTAACATTTGGGGAATCTGGGAGAAGAGTATCCAGGAATTCTGTGCACTATTCTTACAACTCTTCTGACAGTCTGAAATTATGTCAAAATTTAAAAAAATTTTTCTTTGTAAACCATGATGAGATATTAATACGCACCCACCAGAATGGCTATAATTAAACACTCTCACGCCCCCAAGTGTTCGCACAGATGTAGGGTAACTGAGGAGCTCTATCTAATTCGTTATTCATAGGACTGTAAAATGGTAAAACCACTTTGGACAAAGCTCTGTTGGTTTGTTAAAAATTAAATATACACCTACCCTATGACCCAGAGATTTCACTGCCAGGTATTTACCCAAGAGAAATAAAACATGCTTACGAAGAGATCTGTACAAGAGTGTTCCTAACACCTTCATCTGTAGTAGCCCGCCTGTCCATCCTCTGCAGAGCGGAAAAACAAACTATGGTGCATTCCCGCTGTGGGGCACTCCTCAGTATTGAAAAGGAACTGATATATCCAACACATGGATGAATCTTAAAATCATTATGCCCAGTGAAAAAAGCCTTCCACAGAAGAGTACATAGCATATGATAATATTTATACGAAGTTCTAGAACAGGCAAAACTAATCTGTGGTGGAAAAAATGTCAGAATAGTGGGTGCTTCTGGAGGGTAGGGTGGGGACTGTCTAGGAAGTGGCATAAGAGAATTTTCTGGGATAATGGAAATGATCTCTATCTTGAAAGAGGTATGGGTTCCAAAAGAGTATACATTTGTCAATACTCAGCAAATGTGATAAGACATACACATTTCAGTGTATTCACTTCAGGTGTAAAATTTACGTCAAAAGGAAAAAAATGGTAAAAAATGAATTCTAGTTCATAATATGCATTCTGATGTAGTAAGAGTACTTGCGTCTGAAATTTACTTTGATATATGTCAAAAAATAAGATGGATTGATGGATTCTAGAGATGGACTGAAAGACAGATATGCAATTAAACAAATATAGTGAAATAGTAATGGAATCTAGGTGTTCACTGTGAAATTCTACTTTGCTGTATGTTTGAAAGTTTTCATAATACAATGTTGAAGGTAAAGATATTTTGGGTACAACTGGGTGAAGTTCCATACAATAAAGACTGGTTATTAGATAATATTAAGAAAATCTTCTTGTCCCTTTCTTAGTGAATGGCATTACAGTTAAGTAGACAAGTTTACTTTTAGGATCAGTATTCTGAAATATTTAGAAGCGTCACGATATCTGCAACTTAACTTTGAAATGGTTCTGCAACAATTTTAGGAAAAAGGGTAGGTAGAAAAACAGGACAAACTGGTACAATTGCTGAAATACAGGGTCCAGCAGAAGTTAATACCTGCTTGAGTATGATTGGTAAGGTAATAATACGGGTGTAATAATTTAGAGTTTTAATTTTGAACATTTCACCTAAAATGTTCTAAGGTATGCTTGAGTGTGACATTGTTACGTTACAGAATTACATTCTTATGATTTTGCAATAAAAAAGGGGAGTTATTTGGGCCAGACTCTGTAGAAGGAGATTCAAAAAGGTGTTCTTATCCTTTCCTTTCAACTGTTATGCTTGGAATGTTTCATACGAAAATATTAAGGGAAAAAAAAACCTACCTGGGCCTGAAGTTTCCAGGGATCGCTCCTCCCATCAAGCTGAAAACTAGATGCTAGATTAACACAGGCTGAAGCTGGTCTGCCTGGTCCCATCATGTCAGATAGTGCAGAATAGTGAAAGCTTAGTTACTGGCCAACAATTCTTCCTAAAAACATCGCCTGAAATGAAAGAAAGTTACTTTCAGACCAAGAGCATTTAAACAAAGGAAAAGAATAAGTGAAAGACAGTACCATGTTCATCTAATAACATTCTAGGAGCAGTCCATAGCAACCTCATACTAAAGAACGGATGCTTAAAGATGGGATTATGATTGGCCCTTCCATTTACAAAAGCAAGTACACTTCTGAAACTCTTACTCTCCGAGAGAGTAAGGGGACGCTATTTTAATGGCAATCTCTTAAACCCTTTTCATTCCAAATTTCAAATCTCAAGGGCCTTCAGTAAAACATTATTCCAAAAACAGAGCTCTTGCTATGGTCAACAAGCACTTCCCAGCAGGGCATTTTATGGACACACATGTTACATTAATAAGTCCTAACCGCTAGTAAAAATGTAGTTATGCTTTGCTAGGATGTCGAAAAGGACAGAACTGAATGATTCTAAGTAAACCCGCAGTATCAGAATATCTAGATTTAGGCCAGGACCTGCCACTAACTGAATGACCTCTCAAGTATTCCATTTCCCCCGTTCTCCCCCCACCCTATACACACACAGCAGGGATCAAAGATACGAAGGCGTTCTGTGAGCCATCATGGGCTACTCATTATCATCGCCTCTCCATTCTGCCTGCCTCCTTACGGACACTTTCTCATTCCTGCACTCATCACGTGTTTATCACACATTCGTCTCCGGTTGTTATTTACCTATTTCACAGGTATATGTCTCATCTTCCCAGCTAGACAAGGTTCCTTGAGGGTAAGGGCCTTGTCTTGCTCTTCTCTGATATTTCCCACAACACAGTGCTTTGAGTATAGTAGACAATTTAACTCAACATTTGTTGAATTAAGTTGATTTTCCATAAACTCACTAGTATTAGATGTACTGGGGAATTTGTTTTCTCAAAGAATCCCAAAGAAAATCAATTGAGAAAATTGGGTTAAAAAAAAAAATCCCTAATTTAATCTTCTAAATAAACCCAACATTTGTAGACTGGATTTGCTTAAAGACAGACACATCTGAAGGAATATAAGGCAGCTGCCCAAGATTTCTTATTTCTGAGGCTGTAGAGACTTGACCAAAAACGAAGATGGGAGGAGGCACGTGAGCAAGGCGATCCCAAGTGGCTTGCCAGCCCCCTAGCTCAGGGGCTGGGGCCGCAGAACAGCGTCTGCAGAACTGGGGCCGGGCGACTGCAACTTCTATGTGCCCAACACTTTCCCCTGGGACACCAAGGGCCTAATAATCCACTCTCTACCAGGAAAAAAACGAAGTGATCCCCACAGTGCCAGGACAGCTGCAGTGACACCACACACAACCACACACACACATGCAGAGTCTGGGGACACCCACCCCCAAACTGTTCCCCTGTACAAAGTCCTGGGACATCTCTCTCTTTGCAATGCGACCCTTTCCAATGGCTCCAGGAAACCTCCCAGTGTTACCCCACATGCTGGGGATCTTCTCCACAAAGTCTCTCTCTCCCCCATCCTGAGACACCCCTGCAGCCTGTGCCTTCACCCACAACCCAGGACAAGTCTCCCCCCAAACTGTTCCCTCCCAGAGTCCCAGGACCCCCCCGTTTGTTCCCTACACATACTACTGGAATGGCCCCCTCAGCCTGTCCTCCCCCACACAATTTTCTCCCAAACCGTCCCCCCTCACTCTGATGCCAGACACTCGCTCGGCCTGTCCCCTCCCTTTCCGCGGCCGGTCACCTCTGAAACGGCCAGTGCCCGTTTCCTCCCTCGAAACTGGGGACACCGTCCCAGCCTCACTCACCCCTGCAGTCATTCTAGTCCCAGACACTGGTGGCACATTCTCACAGCCTCTTTCTCCCCCCACAGACCCTGGGCAGCTGCATAACCTGGTCCCACGCCCAGGGGTGTAAGACACCCCCGTTGCCTGGCTCCTCTCCGCCAGCCCCAGGATACTCCTACCTCCAGTCTCCTCCCCGGACGCCCCAGGTCCCTCTGTAGACTGTTTCCTTGACACTGTGAGGCCTGAGACAGCAGCACTTGTTTCTTCTCCTGCAGACCCAGCTACCCACACCGCAGCAGGCACGCGCCCCGCCATGGGAACCCCTACGGCCGCAAGCACCCCCAAAGACAGAGGTGCCCTCACAGCCTCAGGCACTAGTCCATTGGGTCTCCGTCTCCACAGACCTGAGACACCTTCAGAGCCAGTCTCCCCGTCCACAGGTCCTGGAGCCCTGGCAGCAGAGGGCCTCTCAGTCGCCCGTCTCCTTCCCCACACACCTGAGACGTCCTCAGAGCTAGTGTCGCCCACCATCGGCCCAGGAACCCCAGCAGCTGTGGGGACTCCCACAGCCATGGAAACTCCAGCAGCCACAGGCTTCTCTGCAGTCTGTCGTCTTCCCGATAAGCCCAGGAGACTCCTAGAGAGTGTCTCCTCTCCTACAGGCCCAGGCACCGCTGGGTCTTTGCACAGCCCCACAGCCATGGACACCCCTGCAGTCTGTCTCCCTGCCAACAAGCCTGAGATGCTCCCGGGCATCCTGGCAGTGGCGGGCATCAGCATCCTTGTGGGACCCCTGGCATCTGCTGGTCCTTGCGCTGTCTCCCTCTCTCCCCATGAGCCTGAGACACCTCCAGAACCAGACTCCACCTGCATAGGCCTAGAGGCCCTGGGAGCAGGAGGCACCCCACCCGCTGTGGACACCCCTGCAGTCAGAGCTGCGCCTGAAGTCCCCCTCCTTCCAGGCAAGTGTGAGAAACCCCCAGGACCAGTCTCCACTCCCAGAGGGCAGGGCACCCCGGGAGCGTTGGGCACCTCAACAGCAGCCACAGGAACCCTGGCACTCGGTCTCCTTCCCCAAGATCTTGGGACACCCCCAGAGCTGGTCTCCCCCGCCAAAAGGCCAGGTACGTCGGGAGCCACAGAAACCCTGTCGGTCTCCGGAACCCCGATAACCTGTCTCCCTCCCCATAATCCTGGGAGCACCGCAGAACCAGCGTTCTCTCTCACAGGAAACAGTTCCTCAGAAGCCGCAGGTACCCCTGAAGCCATGGGTATTCTACTAGTGTGACCTCTTTCCCACAGGTTCAAGACATCTCTAGAGCCGATTTCTGGGCACACAGGGCCAGATGCCCACACAGCAGCAGGCACCCTCCCAGATCCAGGTACGCCTGTGGCTGTGGGTACCCCCGCCGGGGCACACCTGTGCTTGGGTATGCTTGATGACTCGGACATCCCTATTGTCTCAGACAAGCCCACAGCCTGTTCTCTCCTTTGCTCTCTCCTCCTGCACGGACACGAATCATCCCTATAGCCGGTCTCCGGACCCACACATCCAGGTAGCCCTAAAGCTGTAGGCACCAGCGCCTCTTGCTCCCTGATAGCCGGCCTCCTCTCCCACAGACTCAGGACATTCTCGCAGCATGTCTCCTCCCCAACCTCCCCTGGCACTGAATCCGCCAGAGGCTGCCCCAGAGCCTGCTGCCTGTCCCACAGGCCTGGGACATCACCAAAGCGTGCCTGCCCTCCTATGACTTCTGGCACTGCCCCAGCCTGGGACACACCCACAGGCTGGTCTATTCCCCACAGACCTGGGACACCCCCACAGCCTACCTCCTTCCCCAAAGCCCTAGGTACTCCCATAACCTGCCCTACACTCCAAAGGCCTGGAGCACCCTCAGGACCTGCCTCCTGCTCATCAGGACCAGATACCCCGGCCGTCTGGGCAGCTTCCCATGATCCCGGGTCACCTGCAGAGCCTGTCTCCGCCCACACAGCCTGTCCCCTGTCCCTGAACCCTGGGTCACCACCACATCTAGTTTCCTCTTCAGTAGCACAAGGTACCCCTACAGGCTCTCTGGTGCCCCACAGGTCAGGGATGCCCCCAGGGCCTATCTCCTCCAGAGCTGGTCTCCTTCGCCATATGCCTGGAGCACCCACAGAGGCAGTTTCCTCCTCTACAGCTCTGGGCACCCCCATAGCCTGTCCCCTTCCCCATAAGCCCAGGGTACCTCCACAGACAGCATCTTGTACTGAAGCCCCAGGCACCTGCATTGACTGCCCTCTCCCCCACAGCCCTGGAGCTCCCCCGCAGCCTACCTCTCCCTCTGCAGCTCTGGGGACCTCCACAGCCTCAGGCCACGCCACAGCCCCTCGTACCCTCACAGTCGGTCCTTTTCCCCAATGGCCTGGGGCAACGTCCTGGCCTATCTCCTCCACTGCTCCAGGCACCCCCACGGCTTGTCCTGCCTCCAGCAGGGGTGGGACCACCGCAGAGCCTATCTCCACAGCTCCAGGCACACCCACAGGAGGCACCCCCACAGCCTGCCCAGGCCCACTCAAGCCTGAGGGCCTCTCACAACCTGCCCGTAGGCCAGTCACTGTAGATATTCCTGAGGCCTGTGGGGCTGCCCTGACCTGTCCTTCCACCCACGGCCCTGTAAGACCCCCACGGCTGGTCTCTACCCACGAAGCTCGGCCAGGTACACCCCTTTCAACTGGTCCCTCTCCTGGAGGTACAGGATGGAGCTCGACTCTGCTTCCTTCCCCACACCCTGAAGCGGCTCTCATAGCCTGCACCTTCAGCCACAGCTCCAGAATGCTCTCATGCCCCATGGATCCAGGACGACCTTTCCTCTCACAGCCCCGGGGGCTCCTATAAACTGTCTGCTCCTCCTCCCCAGTGTCCGTCACCCACACAGATCCGGCAGGCCCCACCACCTGGGGTTCCCCCACAGCTCCGTTCACCCACACAGCCCCAGGGTCCCCTGCAGCCTCCATTGAGCCTGCAGTGCCAGGCGACCTCGAAGCCTCCTTGGCCCCTGCCGTATCCGCCGCTGGTCTTCTCCCTCGTGGCTGCCGACCTTTCGGCTGCAGCCTTTCTGCACTGACACAGCGCGTCTCCCACACCAAGGACCTCACCCGGCGCCTGACTCTTCGGCCTCGGGTGGTCCTTGCAACCCATCTCTTCCCCCTTGGCCAGCGAACTCCATGCCGGGACCTGCTGGGCCGCACACAGCGGCCTGGCATCTCTGCAGCGCGCTCACCCCTGCGCAGCCTGAGCAAGAAGAGCCCACGGCCAGTCGCCCAGCTCATAGCTCGAGGGCTACTCCCGCCTTCCCCAACGCAGAACCTGGGCACCTTGCTCCCAAGGCTGCTCCACACGCGCGCGCGCACATACACACACACACACACACACAGCTCCAAGCTCGCAGCCTTACTTCCTCCCAGCCCCCTACCCGCCCCCGCCCAGTCCCGCACCCCCTTTCCCCAGTCCCGGCCCCACCCTAAAGCCTAGGCAGCAGAATAGGTAATTAGGGGCGGCGAGCGGCAGGATCTGCCCCGGGCCAAAGTCTCCTCTCCCCCAGGTCCATGACTCCTAACGCAGCTTCCCACAACCCCCCAACTCCGCCAGAGCCCACCCTGCCTGGGATGGCGAGGCGCGGGTACTGGGAAGCAGGCGGGGAGAACGGCAATTAGGCCTCGTTTCCGGCCGCTCGCCCGGTCGCCATAGCAACACGCGCAGGGCGGCTTGGGAGCCGTTAGGGCTCCCGAGCCACCTAAAGCCCCAACTGCTGCGTGGCGGCACGTTTGACAGTCCTTGTGCTTGGAGTTCGAGCACGACACCAGATTAGGGCAGAGTCTGGGTTTCGGGATGGAACCAGAACCGAAAAATCGGAGAAGCGAGAGCAGAAAGGCGGTACAGATGCGTTTTGGCCCTCAGAGGTCTCCGTAGCATCCCCAAGCCTTGCGGGCTGTTTCAGGCACCGCGGTACTCCCAGCCCACCCGGAAACAGGTTCGCCCCGCCCCACGGGGGGCCCCGCCTCTAGGCGGAGCGGCCCAAGGATTCCCATTGCAAAGCGCGGTGTGCTTTTCCGATGGCGCCCTACGAGGAGGTGAGTGTGTCCGGCTTCGAGGACTTCAGCCGGGCTGTGGAGCAGCACAAAGGCAAGACCATTTTCGCCTACTTTACCGGTTCTAAGGACGCCGGAGGGAAAAGCTGGTGCCCCGACTGCGTGCAGGGTGAGGCCGGGATTCGGGGCTGCTTCCTAAAGGAAGTGGCAAGAAGGCCTAGGCTGTATTGAGAAGGGGCAGAGAAAGATGTCTTACTCCGGGAGATCCGTAGGGCTGTCTGAGCTGCCGTCTAGCCTTCTTTTCCTCCCTGTTCCCTTCTCTCAAGTCCTTCCCTACCCCAAGAGTGCTCTTGACACCAGTCGACCCATGTAATCTTGAAATCTAGTCCTTTCAAGCTTTTCGCTTCCCCAGCGTGATTAATGTCTTCCTGGAGACTTTATTGATCTTTTTGGGTACGTCAGCATTTATGCGTTTCATTCTGGGCCCTGGGACGTGGCGACAAATCAGGGCTGTGGCTGAGTTACCCTTCATTAAAAGTGGCTCTCAAATCAGCGAACACCTCCAGTTAACTGCAGGTTAAAGTCTGAGTTCTTAACCTAACACTGAGGGGACGGAAGGACATTTTTTCGGTGCCTGATTGTAGAATTGATGTGATTATTTTATATCAACTTTTTTTTTTTTTAAGCTGAACCAGTCGTACGAGAGGGGCTGAAGAATATTTGTGAAGGATGTGTGTTCATCTTCTGCCAAGTAGGAGAAAAACCTTAGTAAGTGGCAATATATACTCTATTTCCCAGACATGCACTACTCTCTCGCAGACAGGCGGAAGGGCCTCGGGACTCAGCTTCTGTGTCTGAGATACAGTCGGATAAGTCAAGTAATTACAAGATATTAAATACAAACTAGAAATTTGAATGTTCAGTGGCTTGTACTAATATTAGAGATAAGGATAATTAAGTGAATTTGGCCTGGTGTTAGTTCAGAACTTAATTGTCTACATTTATTTTATATCTTTGTCACACTTTAAATGAAAACTTTTACATGGGGGAATAAGTCAGTCACAGTCCTCAGGGTTTTTTTAAATGTTTACAACGAAAACAATGATTACTAAAGAACTAAATGTAGGAATATATATTTTAAACAAAATGTAAGAAACCAAGTAGATGTTTTTCATGATAACTTTTTCTTTTCAAAAAGTTGGAAAGATCCAAATAATGACTTCAGAAAAAAATTGAAAATAACTGCAGTGCCTACACTACTTAAATATGGAACAGTAAGTAACTCTCTTCCACTATGTTGGGGCTACAGATTGACCCTGTCAGAACTCTTTTAACTTGTTCTGGATTCAGATAAGGAAAGGTCTTGACATTTCATCCCAAACATCACATTGCTCAGTCCATTCCCTGTGGCCAATCCCAATAAACTATTAATAATGTAAATATCTAAATATTATACCTTTTTCATGCTTTTATTATTTATTTATAGAAAAGGGGAGGGGGGCACCCTAACCAGGGACTGAACCCAAACTTAGGCGTGTGCCCTGATGGGGAATTGAACCAGTGACCTTTCACTTTTCGAGATGACACCCAACCAACTGAGCTACACCCATCAGGGCTTTTTCATGCTTTTTAAAAGCTACTAATTTAAAATTCTATACACAGTGCTCAAGAAAGTTGGTTTATATGTGAATTTTTAAATACTGCTACCAGTGATTGTTTTCCATTTAATCCATAATTCTGGTTGAGAAGAACGGGCACCTCCTCTAGTTTGGTCATGGCCCTGGGATTCTAAATTAAAGAGTTGAGGGGAAGGGGATGGCACTGGGCTTCCTGTCTCCTGTTCCAGTCAAGTTTAGACCCAACTCTTTTAATGATTCATCTTAAAAGCAAGTGTTTGACTGTTTCATAAAACTTGTTACCACTAGTCAATAGTTTCTGAATGGCATACTTTCTCTGTTCCAAGATTTATGTCATTCAAGACTGAACAACTTTATCCCTTCCTAACAACTTTTTTTGTAGCTGTGGGTTACAATTTGACTGTTCTTCTCTTACAGCCTCAAAAACTGGTAGAATCTGAATGTCTTCAGCCCAACCTCGTGGAGATGATGTTCTCTGACGATTAATATTTGATGAGATAGTTGTCTTTTGATGTCCTGATTTGCATACTTGCTTTGAAATCACGTTACCATAAATAAATACATAATAATGGCATAAAAATTGTTATGTCTAAACAATGGAGTGCCATACAATGTTTCTGAACGCTCAGTTTGTTTGTAATACATGGGTATCTTTAATATAAGTAAAATAAATCTTCAAGAGTGGTAGTATACAGGAATATTTCATTGGCAGTAATAGACATACGTGAAAGCCCCTAATAATGAGTAGACAGTTTCCAAATCTCTGAGAGTTAGAATCTTTTACCTTAAATTCCATGAAGTTACAAAGAACTGTTATTCCTCAAACATCTTCTTTGGCTTTAGAATTTAGAACTTCACCTAACCACTGAAGGGAAACACAGCACATCTGATCCAGCCCCTATGCCAGGCAGGCAGTTTTGTTTTACAACTGTCTGAATAGGGTTCACTACTTCGGATGAGGCGGGTGGCAGAGGTCAGAGCCCATGTAACCTAGCAGTAGAAAGGGCTCCAAACTGTCAAGTCAGTCACACTGATTGCCACTTCCTAGCTGTGTAACCAGAGGCAAGTTACTTAACCCGTCTAAACCTCAGTCTCCTCCTTTTGAACAAAGATTGTTCTGAGAATAAAATGAAAGTGTACCTAAGCATTTAACACAGGGCCTGGTCTGTGCTATCTGCCAAATAAATGTTAGCTTTACCAATTGAGCACAAGTATTTGAGGTTCCTCATCTTTGTTCTAGTCCAAAGTCAAGGTCCAATTAGTTAACTACCAATCTCCCTGCCATCTCTAGGTCAGTGGCATACCAATGATTCTTCCATAAGAGCTTTTGCAAAGCAAGTAGTGATACAGGTATGTCCTCCTGTCCTGCTGAATTTAGTAAACTTTATGCCATTTCTGCTCTGTGACTTGAAGAGGTGATTGACTCGTCCTCATTCTGTAGATAAGAAAGGTAGGGTCTCTGATCTGAGGGACAGTATGGTTCCAGGAGATGAACCTGTCCCAGGCTGCACTGTATGTGAGGAACAGGGCTATGCTGAGTTTGGGGTACCTGGTGGCTCTCCCCTTGCCCCATCCCCACTGCCTCCCTAAACTGGTCTAAAGCACCCAATATTTCTGTTCTTACTCAACTGATTGTGTTAAATACTAGTAAAAACGTACAAATCCAGAGGGAAATCAAAGAACAGTTTTGGTTTAACAGAAATAATCTATTAACAATAAAAAGGTAGATGGATTAAATAGTACACTAAAGGTACTAGGTGCTACCACAATAAAAGGTAGGATGAGTCTTTGTCTTCACTGTACAAAAGCAATATATACAGTCTTAGGAGCCTGGTCTGGATCCAGCTTTTCATTTTCCTGATGTGTTATTTTGCTGTTGCTGCTCTGCCAGAGCTTGCTGAAGGCGCATCCGCTTCCGGGAATAGTGCTGCCAGTGCAGAATTTGCTGCTCATCAATAAATTTCGCGCACTGAGCATTCACCAGCTCCTTGCGGAAGTGTTCGTATTGGAGTAGCTCTAACATGTGTAAACATTGAGGGTACCTGGGTTTAAGTTTATAAATTAATGATCGGCATAATTTAAGTCAATAACGCCAAGCTCTAATTCAGTTACTCACTTAAAAATGATCTTGTAGCCTACAATTTCTGTAACATTAACTTAGTACACTTTGGTAGCATAGAGTTCTTTTCCTGCTTAGGTAAAGAAGCTACTGATCAAAAGTCAGCATTAAGCAAAATTTTCAAAAGCGAGAAAACAAGTTCAGAAAGGTTAAGTTACTTGCCCAAGACCACACAATACCTGGTAAGTGGAGTCAATGTTTTGGGGCAATGTTCTGATGATTCTGAAGGTGCAGAACAGGAACACTTTTAATTTTGATAATCAGGTATTTAATAACTATTGGTTTTTCTATCAATAATGATTAAAAGACAATTTTTTAAACCGAGTCAATTTCAGCAAGTACTTGCACAAATACATTCTAGTATTCCATGGGGCTATGGAATTCTAAAGTTCTGCATACTCCTAAGACTGAGCAAACACGAAAGTAAATATACTGTGGATAAAGAGCCAGCTTGGCTATCAAAAAGCGATAGATGGAGGAAGAGGAGAGGCTAGAATAAACCCCACTACTGAGCTGGAACTGAAAACACCAGTGTAAACTCACAACTTTTTACATAGACATATAGAAGTAAACAAACATGTTCTTCGTGTGTGTGCTGGGAGGCCTAGGAGCAATGACACTGTGGTGCCAACAGGCACACTTAGTGTTCAATTCATGGGTTTTAAATATCATTTTCCCGGGTTCCTTGGAGAAATGGCCGATTCCAGGGCTCAGGCAGGGAAAAATACAAGATCAGCCAGGAATATCATGTAGTGCCAAAGAAAAGTGCTCCAAAAATTATGGAGATATGTCAAAAGTACTCAGGAGACAATGTGAAGGAGCTCCTAAAGGCCATAATCTGGAATCACTAGAGCAAGAAAATACGGAATTATAATCCACAGAATAAAAGTAAGATTCCAAGAGTCCACACTGATGTTTTTAAATGAATAAATAGGGAACAAGAGAATGTTCCTTCCTTACAACTGAATTTCAACTAATGAAGAAAGAATTTTGGAATTAGAAAATCACAGTAAAAATTTGAGGCAAGTATCTTCAATAGATACTAACATTAGTGGGTAAAAGTATGATATGAAACAAGATCATCTACATAGTTTCAAAGTATCTCCTCACAAAATATTTATTAAATATAAAAGAAAAAATAGTAACAATATGGGGGAAAACTGGCAGCCCCCACCTCAACCAAGTGATCAGAATTAACAGCACCAGCAGTGGACAAATAGACTTTCTGTGACCCCTGATACCTAGAAGGATAGAATGTCACTTCTGAGTCACAGTCACAATGGAAAAAAAGACCAAAGAACTTGGATCAAAGAAGACTAAGAAGACATGATGACAAAATGCAGTGTGTGAGCCTGGACTGGATACCCTACCAGACAGACTATTAGTACAACAGCCTACAAAATCTGAGGTCTGTAGGCTGGATAGTATATTACTGTTAATGTTCTGATTTTGATCATTGTACTGTAGTTTTATTTAAGATGTTGACATTTAGAATATATGGGTAAAGAATTTATAGGTATTCTCCTTACTATTTTCCCAAGCTGTTTCAAAAATGAAATTACTTCAAAGAGAAAAGACATAAAATTTAAATGAGTAAATTAAATAAACATTAAGTCATATAGCGAGTCCACAGAGCCAAAATTGTACAAGAGGTACAAATATGGCTCCTGAAGTTTGGAAAACAGTATACTACAGCAGGCTTCTCAAATTCTAATATGCACACGAGCCACTTCTTGAAATGCAGATTCTGATTTAGTAGCTCTGGGAAGGGGCCTAAGCTCTGCATTCCTAACAAGCTCCCAAGTGATGGGAACACTGCTGGTCTGAGGACCACATTGAGTAGCAGGGCCCAATACCATGCTGTCCTTCCAAGATATTATGGTTTGCAATCTACACTCCAGAGACACACAGTTGCTTGCAATTGCTCATAGTTGAGCCTAGAATGCCCTACTCACACCTACGCTGGTTATTTATCAACAGGGCATTGGTAGTTTAAAAGACCTAGGTCCCATATGCCAGCTCTGCAATTCACCAGCTGGGTGGCCGTGAACAAAGTACTTAACCTCTCTAAGGTTTAGTTTCTTCATCTGTAAAATAATATGACAACCAAGAGAATGGTTTCAAGCAGCATTTAAAAGTAAATAGCTGGAATTTAGACACAGAATGATCATTTATCCAAGTTGGAGAAGACAATGCTCAGAATACAATCAATGACACAGTAAGAAATTATAGCATTAATCAACAAGATGAAATAGAAGAGGTACAAAAGAAAAGTTATGCATTTAGGTTTTGAAAAAGTAAACACGACACAAGTGACACACTCAACAGCATTAATGAAAATAAGAGCTAAAGGATTTTAGTTGACATAAAGCTCCCAGGCCGTCAACAATGTGCATTCTTGCCCCCGCCCCCTCATCCCCCCAAGGTAATGTAAACTCAAGTTGAACTAAGAAAAGTATAATGTCCATATGAAGAAAAGTGTTATTTGGTCCACTGTACCCTTACATCTGAAGGCCTGTGTTTAGTTCTTGGCTGAATAAGGTAAGGCACAATTGCAAAATATCCAAAGGAGGACATATGAGAAATGGCTGAAAGTAGCTGAGGAAAAAATGTAAAAGGGACATTATAGTTGCAGGTACTGGCTGTTAGTGAAGCAAGTCAAATGGTAGAAAGTGTCTAGAAGAGGGAGCTGCTCCCTCAGCTCTACCCAACCACCGATGCGGGAGAATGAAGACCTGGAGTTACCAGTCTTCCCGATTTCAAAGAGTAGTTAGAACTCTGATTATATGAAACTTTCCAACTTTTATATGTTGGCCACTATTAAAATAACACAAACCTTGCGCAAAATGGACGATAGGCCCAGGGATGATATGCCCACAAGGGATTAATCTGCAACCTCTCTTGAATTTAAATATCTGAAGGGCTCTCGCCTCAATAGGGCATAGACTGGTTCTAGATTAATTCAGGGATAAAACTGGAAACATGGATTGAAGTTACATGGAGGTATGTAATCACAACACAAAGAGCTGTGTAGCATCTAGTTAACAATGGAATCGGCTGTCCCTGAACCGAGCGGTAATTGCTCAATGGAACCCTCTAGCCACAGTGTATATGACCACCGCAGCACTGCTGTAGGTGAAACTGAAACTGACCGTGAGGGTGTTTAAGACTAAGTGTCTGTTATTGAGTCTCTAAGTGCATACATGTTGCAATCTAATAAAAAATATTTTCTCTGGACTATGAAACGAATAAGCAATTGTTTATAAAAGGCCAGTAAGGGTACAAACAGTGGCTTCGTGAATCAGCTGTTAGACATAGATCAGAAAAGTGACTTGGATAAAGTACAACTCTGAAACATTTTCCTCTCACACTTGTGTTTAGGAAAAAAAAAAAGACAAAACGTTTCATTGCTTTTTGACTACCTAGTGAAGAGAAAGCAGAGGTGTGAATTCAAAGTTTATTTTTTACAATTAAAAAATAAAAAGGTTTGTGATTATAATACACTTCTTGCAATTTAGTAGCCCTTAAAAGGACAGCATCTTTTGCACAACCTAAATTTTACATCTATATCTATAGATACAGATTTTTTTTTTTAAATTAGCACAGTACTCAACACATAGGAGGCCCCAAAAAAGACAGTAACTATTAAGACTTAGGAAAGGTTACCTCCTCCAGAAAACCTTCCTTAAAATACCCCTTTCTATGCTCCTAAATTTTTAGCCTATGGCTATGGCCCTGCATTTATAGGTTGTGGGTTCTTCGGGGTCAGAAAACCAGTGAAATGGGGTAAGTGGTACCGATAAAGACAGACAAGATAGAACCACATCATATAGAATTTTTGCTCAAGAGACGAAGACAATTTTATTCTGCATGCAATGAGAAGCCATTGAAAGGTTCTAAGCAAGAAAGTGACATGTTGTTATTTACACTTTTAAGAGATCAATTTCACTTCTAAGTAAAGAACTGTTTTGCTTTGTTTGGCTGGGGAGGGGAAGAAAGGTAAGAGTGGAAGCAGAGACAACCGGTGAGGAGATTACTGCAATAATCCAAGTTAGAGGTGAGTGTGTCTTGTAAGGTGGTGGCAACTACAAGTGGAGAGATTCAAAATATATTTTTTTCAACGTGAAACTAGTTAAGTCTGTTAAATACCAGTGTTTTTGGAGTATAATAAAATACATAGACATTTAGGATTATAAAAATTAAACTTACTTTAGATACTTGGCATATTCTGGTTCTTTCCAGTAAAGCAAGTACTTAAGATAATTAACGAAAGCTTTGTCTTTGAAGTAACCTCTCTGGGCAAGAACTGAAAGGCATAAAAAAAAAAAAAAAAGAAGAAGTCTGTAGAGCAAGCCAATCCTTTAACTACTGATTTGTGACTCCTAACAAAGAATTTACTTACATAACATCCCCACCACCAACACACATTGAACCAAAAAAACAAGTCCCAGTTTGCTCAAAAATATATGTGCATTTATATTCCATTATTAGGTATAACAGTAATTCTGTTTAATTGAGAAGATATAAAAGCAGATACTATTATGAATTGCCACCCGTCTGTCAGAAATCATTAATTCAATAAGGTGCTCAACAACTTACAATTAAGGTAATTTGGGTTAGCTAAACACTGCACAAATTCCAACTCCAACTGAAACCGAAGTCGATTTCCAGCATCATCTAGAAAAGGAGATAGCAAAAACCATCCGAAACAGAGGTCACTTATAAAATATTATTTTGTAGAAAGGAAACAGCAGTAAAGAAACCTGACTGACTGATGCTGAGATACATTTCTACATAAAGGGCAGGTGATGGATTTTCTAAACTAAGTGGGAGAGGAGATAAACTTTCCTTACAAGGGTAAGAAAAGCAAAGCCCTGATTATAATGATTAAGTTAGAATTTTCTCTCAAGTTAAAGAGAAGTCACCAAAGTAAAAGGAAGAACACAGAGGATATTTATCACTGGAGAGCCACCATGTAGGAATTTTAACAGTGATGACTGTGGCAAGTGGCAATAGCCGTGTCTCCCCCTATTTTAATAATGTGTTAAAATGTTAATGTGATTAAGCAAAAACTAAGCGAATACTAAATCAACGAGGGAGAAAAAAAAGATTAGAATTCAAACTCAAAAAGAGACGGAGTATGTGCAAGATCAGGGAGTGTGACTGTGGAAAGTGTCAGTCGCAGGAAAATACACAATGTCGACGATATTTCAAACTTATTCAAGTTCATTTGAGACGCAAAAAACAAATCGAACTCCTCTCGGCCACTCTCGCCCACGCCAGGAAACCCACGGGGTCAGTGTTTGACTAGCAAGTGAAGAAAAACGATCTCCGGACAAATGAGACTCTGAAAAGGCCAAACTACCTTCGCCTTTTCAGTCGTTACAAGAGCCCTCGTGCCTCCAGGTCTAAACTCTAACAGCACCGAGAGTTACGTATGCAGTGAGTCCTGGGGGGAGCAGGAGGAGGTGTCTGGGCCCCGGGACAGGTCTGCCTGCCAAGACTCAAGGCTCCGAGCGTTACTGACCTGTCTCCATAGCGACAGCCGTAGCCATCACCAGCGAATAATCCAAGTCGCCAGCAGCCCCAGAGAGTAACTACCGAGAGTGGCGGAGGAGGTTCCGGAAGCCGCGGCTCCGCCTTCCTGTAGCGAGGCAGTGTGGGAAGCCGGGGTGGGCCGAGCCAGGCGTGGCGGCGGGAGGCTCCGCCCATCCCAGGCCTGCCCGGGCTCAGCCCCCTCTCCGCCTTCCCTGGCTTCCAAAAGGCGAGGGCGTGGAGCAGAGCCCAAGGAGCGTCAGTTGACAGGGCCGCGTATTTGCAAGGGAAAGAAATGCCCTCACGGGACCTCGGTGCCGGCACGTCTTCGTGTCGGGGCACACTCGTCCACCCTTGCGCTTGCGGTGACGTAACACGCCATTGTGACATCATTCCTTCCCCTGTGATGTAACCCAGAGACGAGACTATCGGGGAGTGTTGGACTGGGTGCCCTCCCGAGGCCTCTTTGGCCCCGTTACACCCGTAGAATGGCTTCACCCCTTCGGGGAAAGCCCGCTTCGCCCCGGGTGGAGACCATTCGCTGCAAGGAGACGTCGACAGTTCACGTGGAGACATCGTCCCACCGAGTGGAGACCTCCTCCCGGCTGGTGCGCACGACTTCCCGGCAGGTGGAGACCTCCCAGCGCCGCAGTGAGGGGCTCTCCCAATCCCCCTCTGGGAAGCGGCTCCCTCGCGTCCTCGAGGTGTCCTCCCAGCACGTGGAAACCTCTTCGCAGCGCACAGAAACGTCCTCCCGCCACGTGAGGGCCTCGTCCCAGCGGGTGGAGACATCTGTGCACCGCGTAGAGAGCCCTCCCCGGAGGGCCAAGCCGGCAACTGGCCAGAATGTAAAAATGACCCGATGAAATGCTTCCCAAAGGCCACAAAAGGGCCATGGCCCTCAGCCAGGACAATATTGCTTCCAATTGGCAGCCACCAAGCTGCCAGGTGGACCAATCATCTTTGATTTCATGGAAACAACCATAAATCAATGTAAGAAACAGCCAAGCTACGGTTTTGGGACTCAGGCAACATTTATTGACCATGCTGCACCTTGGACCATCCTGCCTTTGACCGGCAACTATTTTAACTTGAAGCCAGCGCAACCACAAAAGGTTTTCAGGTCCATGATACTGTATAAATTAAGTTGATGGACAAATAGGCTATTTGAACCTCTGAGCCAGGTGAGTTTGAGATTCACAATCCCTTCACTGCTTAGGGGCAGTTAGCAAACTGAAATGATGACCGGTGGAATGATTATATGCCTGCTAAAATCCTGAGGGGCCAGGAACAGACTTTCATCAATTAATTGGCCTTTGTTTATGTTTCAAAATAAGCAGTTGTTTTCTTTATACTAAGCCCTGTCCATGGTACCTCCAGCCACACACTTTTTAACATAGGTCATTGCAGTTAAAAATGAAGGTCAACATCAACAATCAAGAGTAACCTTAGAAGGGAAACGTGACCTGAGATTCGAGGAAGTGGAGGGGAGGAATTTTGGAGCACCTAGTCTATTCCAGGTGGGATTCTAGCACTTGGGCTACAGCAGTGAACAAGGGAGACAAGGCCTGGCCCTTGAGGAGTCTACCCTCTGGTGAAGAGGCAGACAACAAATGACAAGAAAGTTTTCTATTGTGATTAGCACTATGAAGGAAATAAATGGACAATGTGATAGAGAATGGAGGTAAGGGGTTTCTTCAGACAGAATGGTCAGGGGTAGCCTTACTAAGCATCGTTTGAGCTGAGGTGTGTGAGGGTGAACAGTGAGCCATGCAAAGATCTGGAAAGAGTGCATGCTAGGCAGAGGGAGCAGCAAGTGCAGAGAGTGGCTGGGAGCCAGCTTGGAATGTTTAAAGAACAGAAAGAAGACTGGTGTGGCTGGGGCTTAGTAGGGGAGAGCCCGTGTATGGGAGAGAGGACGTTGGAGAAGTAGGCAGGAACCCGTTCATGGGGCCTTGTAAGCCGAGGCAAGGAGCTTGGGTTTTATTCTAATGTCAGCGGAGAGACAATGGAGGGTTTTCAGCAAGGGAGGAAATGATGCAATTTATATTTTTAACATGTCCTGGCTTCTGTGTATAGGATGTAGGAAGGTGGTTCTCAGCTCTGGGTGGTTCTGTCCCCTGGCAATACCTAGAGCCATTTTTGTTTGTCAGGATTTGATGGGGGAGTAGTTTTGCTACTGGTATTGGAGACGAGGGATGCTGCTGAACATCGTACAGTTCACGGACAGCCCCTCCCCACCACACACACCAAAGAATTACTTATCCCAAAATGTCAATAGTGTGATATTGGGAAAACCTGATATAGGTGACAAGAGAGGAAACAACTAGTTAGGAAGCCAATGCCATGGTCCAGTAAGAAATGATAGTGGCTCATACTAGGGTGGCAGAAGTGGAGCTAGAAAAAAGAAGGCAGATTAGTGATGGGTTTGAGGCAGAGCTGACAGGGCTGGTGGATGCGGTGAAGGAGAGAAGAATCAAGGATGACTTCTCCTTTGGCGTGAGCAATTTGGGAAAGATGAGGTTAAGGAGGACAAAACAGTTCAGTTTTGGCCATGCCGAGCTTGCCGTTCCTGTACAACACCCAAAGGGAGACAGGGAGGGTTAGGAATATAAAATATGGGGTCATTTTTAAGTCGTATTTAAAGCCACATGACTAAGCGAGTATTACCTGCCAGTCTATCTCACTCACTTTATGCTGCACAAATGAATTTGAGGTCTTGTTCTTCAGGGAGCACCCGCTGGCTGAACCCCTCCTCACTCCCTCTCATCCCCACAGGGCTTCACTTGACCTACCTAGTTTTTCCTTGCCTATCGTCCTTTGGCAGCCACCAGTAAGTAAGTGAGTAAGTAAGTAAGTAAGTAAGTGAGAGTTTGCACTAAACTGTTAGACAAATGTTTCAGAAAATTCAACTTCCACAGGTAGCATTACATTGCTCCTGGGAAGAAGGTCTTAAAGTTGAAAAGTTCAAGTTTTGGGTTTTTGTGGCGGGTGGGATGCATGGATATTAATGTGTGGTCCTAGCCCCAGGTTCTTATGGGATGGCTGAAGAACAACTGAACTGATCCATAACAGTGGTTCTAAACTGGGGGAAGTTTTGCCCCACAGGAGACATTTGGCAATGTCTGGAGATATTTTTGTCACAACTGTGGGGGTTGGATGCTACTGGCATATCGTGGGTAAAGTTTTGGCTTGAGCCATTTGGTGTATGGCGTCTGTCACTAAACATCCTGCCATGCACAGGTTATCCCCCATCCAGCCTCTGACAACAAAGAATCACTGGGCCTGAAATGCCAACAGTCCTGAGGTTGGAAAACCCTGAAGATGCTAGCAGCTTAGAAAGCTGAAGCATGCTCCGTTGGAGGAAGTGCCCACTACTCATAGGATTATGCTGTGGGAGAGGCTTAGTGGTAGTGACCTACGTCAAATGTCGGGGTAGGGGCTTTCGGAGGAGAGGGACATGCTGCTTTTGCAGGGGACCTTACATCTCTGCTTTCAGTAATTTATGTGGTATTTACCCCAGAAGGAAAGCCAGTCCCATCTCACAGGGTGTAAATGACCTTGATTCTGTGGGACCTTCTTTTGAGTGGAGTGCTTGCTGTTTCCAGACACTGTGCTAAGTCATTACCCACGTTGCTTCATTTAATTCCAGGGCAGGGCACTGGGCTGCCCTAGGGAATAGGGGCTCGAGCCAGAGGAATGTTATGAACCCCGGAGGTTACCCTCATGCTTCGTCCTCCTCAAAACTTCTGCTGTAAACTAATCATTAAACTTGGGAATTTTAATCTTTGGTGAGCTTACTGATTGTTTTTAACATGAGAGACCATGTGCATTACATACAAACACTCTTAATCAGTGTTTTTTAAATGAATAAGGTAGCTGCTTTTCTTATCAGTGTTCTTTATTAATGTCTTAATCAGTGTTTTTTAAATGAATAAGGTAGCTGCTTTTCTTATCAGTGTTCTTTATTAATGTCTAGTACAAAAGGGATATGTGCTTAATGTAACAAATGAAATGATTCAAAGATGTGTAAAGAAAAATGTAAAAATTTATTATCATTCCTCTCCATTCTCATCCTCTGGAAATAATGTCAGCAACTGGGAGTATATTCTTCTAGACTTTTGCATAGTAACTGCTTTGGCCCCCTCCTTGGTAGTACCTGTAAGGCTGGTTGGAAGGTTACTGTGAAAAAGCCAGACCCTTGGTTTCGAGATGACTGATTCCCTTGGAAGGATACAGAATTGCCGTCCTTCTTTCTTTTTGTTAGTTTTTTTTTTTTCATAAGAAGCGTTTTACTGGGGTTTCTTCCTCCTAATTTCATTTATCCATATTTCAAAGCCGAAATCCAAAGGGGTATACACAGGGGAATGAAGTGTCAAAAAGACAAGAGATATGAAGAAAAGGGTTTTGACAAGATATTTTCCATACATATTGTTTTACACATCAGATCCCACAGCCTTAAAAGGATCCTGTGTAGTAAAGAAGCTTATAGCTGTCATAATTTTTAATGTACCTGCTGCATAGTATTACCAATACTGCGTGTCAGCACCCTCCCCACGTTGTCTACACTCGGAAGCTTCAAAGGAGCACGGTGTTGTCTTACCTGTGACATGGCCTATAACGCCGAGCACACGTGTACAATGAGGAGCAGAGAGCAATGCTGTCCCCTCCGCTGCCAGCCAGGAAAGCCTCTAATAGCTCCATCTACCAGCCCCTTTGATTTGTTCATCTAGGAAATAGCAGTGACTTACCTTCACTTCTTGTCATTCTCATAATCCACTCACTTATGTATAAGCTGAGGGCAGCTTGCAAAATCCATATATATTTGTTGTCAGTTGTTGAAAACACTTAAAATGAAAGAATTCCTTTAATAGAATACTCTTTCCCCAGATCACACAAGCCAGGGGGAAAATCAAGAGCCCAGCCAGTGAGGTATTTGGCTCAAGCTTTCATTTAGATCTCCCAGGATTCCAGGTCCTCTGTCCTTGCTGTGCTCCCACCCAGTATGGTGGGTGCAAGTCCCCAAGCCCTGGACACTTGATGCAACCTCTATGGCTCAACATGCTTATATGGGTTCCACATGCCATTAGACCAGAGAAAGAAGTCACTGTTTAAAACTTTTTTTTTCCCCCAAAACAGTTGACCGTGGTACAGATGGGAAAACTGAAGTCCATAGAAGCCAAAATAACTTGCCACCACTATTTACTTCCTCCCAGGATGATTTCTTTTGATAACCAACTAAAGGTAGGTATAGTGTCCTTAAGTGTAATTTTTAATGAGCATGATAGACAATACTAAAAATAGAAAAGGGAGAAATGAAGAAGTAACATTTACCATTTTTTGCCATGCATAATGTACACTTTTTTGCCCAAATTTTTGAGGGAGAAATAAGGATGCACATTTTAAATGGTCATTATGATTACATACCATGGGTATAATAATCCCGTGTATAATGCTCACAAAACCGTGGGTGCACATGACATATGGCAAAATATGGTATGTGGCATTCTATCTCATTCCTGTGAGGCTCCAAACATCTCAGTACTATTTTGAAACTCTGTTATTAGCTACATAAACATTTAGCGTCATCATGTCTACTTGATAAATTGGCCACTTTACCATGAAATGACTTTCTTTATCCCTGGTAATATTCTTTGCTCTGAAATATTTTTTATTTGATATTAATATAGCTTCTACAGCTTTTTATTATTGTTAGGATAGTACATCTTTTCCTACCTTTTACTTTTAACCTATTTGTATCTTTATATTATATATAAAGTATTTATAAAGTATAAAATAGATTGGTTGTACTATATAGTTGGATCTTGATGTTTTTTAAATTCAACCTAATAATTTTTTCTAATAT